AGCAAACTATCAATATATTTAACAAGAGAGTACAAGGTTACTCAACCCACATGCAAGCTACAAAACTGTGATACCCCAAAAATTTCTAGGATAAATAAGTGAGTTAGGGACTAACTTGTGAGGAAAATATTGTTTTGGGCTTAATTTCCAAAATTTCAAAAGTTGAGGGATTTAAAATAGGAAAGAATTTGAATAAGGATCCACTATTTTTTTTCCTTCTTTCTTTCTTCCTCGTCCCGTGTGCTTCTGCTCTTCCCGACCCCCCTGCAGCCGAACAAGGAGCAAGCAAGCCGACAGCCATGCCTTGAGGAAACCGGTAGGAAGCTTGGTATTTTCCCCTTCCTTTCTTGTTCTAGAACCCATATAGAACCCAGAAATCTCTCCCCCTCTGCTGAAATTCCAGATCTGCTCGGTTTCTCCCCCTCCCCTGTCCGTGAGCCGCAGCTGGTGATGCGAAATTCTGGGCATTTTTCGGTAAGAACAGCCATGATTTCATCCTTTTAGCTTTGATTTAAGTTGGATTACTCTAAGTTCCTCTTGTTCCTTCAATTTTGGGTGGTTCCCGTGAGTCCCCTGCAGCTTGCCGCCGGCTCCTTCTCCCCCGCCAGGTCCGGTTCTGCTGGCTGGAAAATTATGGCATGTGACAGCCCTTTTAAGGCTTAAATTATCCATTAGTTGCTGAGTTTAACCATGAAATTGTTGCCCCTGCACTGCCCGAATGTTTGCTAAATTAGGGGGATGAATTCCGGTAGCTTTAGAACAAAATTTAAGCATTAATTCAAGTGGAATTTATGTGATTGAGTGTTAATTGACTGCTGTGATTTTTGGAGAGAAAATCCCGTGAATTAGCTAGTGTTTTGGCCAATTTTTGGAAGTTGTAGTTACTGTTCATTGCGTGATTACTGTTCAGGGCACTGTTCATGGGTACTGTTCACGCACTGATGGCCAACAATTAAAGGGGATTTAAATGTTTAGTTTGTAATATAAGAATAAATTTAGAGATGTCCGATCATATGGAGACTAATAGAAATAGCATCGTGATTAGGGGATAGTCAGGGTGATTTACTTTTGAATCCGTGATACGATAATTAATTCTTGAATATTTTGATTAGGTTCCTAATCGTTTTGTCAGTTTAGCACTGAGATCGAGTTTTCGGTTTTATGCGAGTGAGATAAGTAAATTTATGGTAATGTTCGTACAGTTTTTAAAAGCATGTTTTGACTTTTTTTGAAGTGGTTGCGGGACTAAACCCGTTTTATACAAAAGTAAGTATGACTGATTTGAAGTGAAATTTTTATGCTTTTCATTAAATTGAGCATGCCTACTTGAAATTTAATTGATTGTATTGATGATTTGAAAGTGATTGGTGAATTATGATTTTTCTGTTAACTTCTGCTTGTTTTGTCTTCGATGTGGTTATGTTATTAATGATCTTGCTAGTGGGGGTTAAACACTAGCATATGTCGACATGTTATTGATAGAACCGGTTCGTTCGAGTGACCCTGCTAGTGGGGATTATACACTAGTAAATAGTGCGCCTGCTAGTGAGAGGTTTATAACGCTGGCCATGACCTAGAGAGAAGATGTCTATTTCGTTCCTGTACTGTATCCGTTTTTCATGATTACACTTGTTGGCATGCTATAAGTTTAATTAAGGGCATTCCATATTTTACTTATTGAGTTATCTCATAGTTTTTCCTTGTCCACCATTTCAGGAAGCGAAGTCAAGGACGAGGAAAAACGAGGGGAGTGACGAGTTAGAAGGGTAACCATCTTATAAATTGAATATGGATTTTAGATATAATGACGATATTGTAAGCTAAATTGTAATTGGAGATTTTATAATTCATTTAGTGGATTGTTAAATAACAAGATATTTGACCTTGAGATTTTGAGCTTAAATCATGTTGGACATAGAATTAATTTTGAAATATCCAATCTAAGTTATTGGATTGTCAGATGTGAATTGGATAAATTCCAAGCTTTATGCATTTGTGGGATCCTTTCACGAATACACGGCGTCTACCACATCCTTGGATTTGGGTTTTGGAGCGTGAGAAAAACAATAGAGAATGAAATTAAAAGAAAACCCATAGACATAATCAAAAAATTTCTCAAATATTTTTAATAAATTCTTATTTTATGTTTAAAGGCTTAGACTGATATTGATATTTTTCTAGGTGCTAATTGAAATGTTTTCAAAAGACCAGGGGGCATGGCCCCTCTTGGTCTACATGTAGCCCCACCACTGATCAAGGGAGGAGATTTATCTCTAAATACATTAAGATATTCACTCAAATTAAAATGTTAGGTTTTCTATCTTTGTTGCAAATGCAACGTTTCTAATGTTTAATTTTATTATCAAAATTACGTACTTTTAGTATCACATAGTATTGCATGCTTTCAATCATGAAGTTTTATTTTATAATTGACCATTTTCAATTAGGAGTCCATTAGTAATATTGTATATACTTATTCATCTAACGATACATCATAATTATAATCTCATAATCTTATCTGATATTATAGCTATATCATTGCTAGTTTTATTACCATATAAGGTTTGATACTCTATATACATTGGATTTAGCCTTTCTTTCTACTATTATTTGAAAAGGGGTAATGATATGGAGATAACATTTTGTACAACTTTTTTATATGATTTTCACTTGTTATTAAATGAATAAATGCATATTATATTACAAGTGGACCCTTAAATAAAAAGAACAAATCACTAAATAATACATAAGATTCTATAAAAAAAAGTTATACAAAAAAATTGTCTCTGAATCATTTTCAAAGTGAAATGAAAAATGGAAAAAAAATCATCTACCAAGGTTTCCTAACTTAAATTCGTAGATTTCTGTGAAAAGGGAATGTAATAGAATCTAACTAGATTTCCTAACTTAATTTATAGATTTCTCTACGTAAATGGTAGATGGATTAGCTCTATAAATTTGAAGCTTTGAAGATTGGAAGGTATTAGTCATCTTTTATCTCAAGCAAACAATTAATAGAAACACAACAATAACAGCACTAGAAAAAATATGGAGAAGCTCTCAATCAAGTTCATTTTAGTCGTTTTCTTTATTTTTTTCACTTGGTAATTTAGCAGTTATCTTTAATTTTTATAGCAATTTTTGTTCTATTGAGAATTTTTTGATCAATGACTCTATTATTTTGACATCTAATTATGGTACCAAGATAATTCATTATGAAATTTTGATAAGTTTTGTATTTTGCTAACAAAAATGAATTATTTGTCTTTGCTGTAGGCCTGCAAGCAATAACAGAAGCAAGAAATGTGAGTATTCCATGCACTAAAGACTCTGATTGTGGTAGTCCAAAATGCAAATGCAATGGTCCAGTAGGAGGTCGCGGTCTGTGTGTCTGTAGTGGTGATGTAGCTGGATTATTTGAACAAGCCATGACTAAGACTCCAAAAGTGCAAAATGAGGTGCCATGATAGGCTAAAAATTTTGGTGTGTCTTGATGGTTAAACCATTCACACGAAATAAAAATGTCGATCATCAATAACTCAATCAATACCTTGTTCAACACTTAATAAATAATAAAAGTTGTCTATCTTTTACTTTTTAACCATTAGTCCTTTTAATATTGAAAGGTAAAGTTTTTATAAAATTCTTTGTCATTAAATGCCGTTAACATATTGTTAGGCATAATATAACGGATGAAAATTTAGGATGAAAATTTGAGATTAATAATATAGTATAAATCACGTCATTAAATAAATTTATGCATGTAATATATTATGGATCTCAATAAAATAAGTGTCACTCATTAAATAATTTAAGATCTACTTTTTAATATTTTAAATGATATATTTTATACCATGTCATTGGTAGCAAAATTTTGGTCTTGTATATCATTATCCTTTTAAAACCAAATCAAATTAAATGATTAATAAAATTTTCAAACCAATCCAATCAGATTGGATTGATGTGGTTTCGACCAAATTAATCTATTTTTAACACTATTTTAAATATATTTGATAAGGTAAAATATTTGAACATCAAGTCGTAGAACACACAAATATAAAACACACTAATATTAAAGACATCAAAATGATAGTATCAATCTACTAGATTGAAGTAAGAACTAAGAACATGGAAAAAAAAATGTAAGAACTAATAAGGCATTCCAAATAGATAAGCTCACGTTATTATCGCTAACAAAGGAAAAGAGTTTTGAGGGTAGAGCTTTTACTTGTGTAAAGGATGATTTAGGGTTGCACTATTTCTTAATTAACTTAATTATGTTGACTAATTATAGCACAAAAGCAAAAGAAAAGAAAGATAGCCAATATAATTAATGTTATGGTACATCCAAAAAAAATTCAAAAAATTGTTATGTAGTCCAAATTGTTAGAATAAGAAAAGTAAGAAAAAAGAAAAAGAAAATATAAAATAGAATTTGTATAGGAACATGATTGATTCACCTTCTGGTTTGACACAACCTATGGCATCTATTCGATTCAATCATTAAAACATAATATAATTATAGCTAGTTTAGTCGATTCCTACATGTTGTATGCATAACTATAAGTTTAAATGTTTTCATCTTTAATTCTAGATTGAAAAATAGTAATTTTTAATGACTTTCTTGTGGAGTGTGTTAAACTGAAGAGTGTTTATATTATTCTCCATATGTATATTTATATTTTTTTTTAACAGCAAACTATCAATATATTAACAAGAGAGTACAAGGTTACTCAACCCACATGCATGATACAAAACAATAGACGATAGTTTCCCTCCCCCCTTATTACATAATGACAACCCTACTTGAAACTAACCTCCAAAAGCCTTCTTCCTAGGTACCACATATTGCCTTGGATTTTTACACCAATCTATGAAAGAGAATGACCATGTTTCTACCGTTCCACTTAACCATACAAAAAATATAATTTGTACTATTTCCAACACCCAATCCAAATCAATATCAATGCCATTAAATACTTTCTCGTTTCTTGCAAGCCATAAAGACTAGCACATTGCAAACCATATCACATGCCAATATTTGTTGTGACTAGACACTCCATGGTGCTTTAGAAAAGCGGCCTTATAGCTACCTTGCATAATATGTTTGACTCCCTGCCATGGATAGGCACTTTCTTAATAATTTATGTGCAGAAACACAATGAAGTAATAAATGGTTTGTATTCTCAACAACTTCCCCACATACTCCACATGAACTACCATCAACATCATGATTAATATTTCTTTTAATTAGGCTAGATCTACAAGGTATTTGTACTGAAGAGGTAGCCATATAAATGCATATACCTTGCTTAGTAGCCAAGTATTCTAGGATTTTTTAGGATAACACTGTTGTTTGAGGTTTCCATTGTAAAAGGGAAGCATATGCAAATTGTGCAAAATAACAACCCTTTTGTCATGTAGCTAGATCCACACCTCCTTTGCATCTTTCCTTGGTTGTATTTGCACCAACTTGTTCAACAAAATATTAGCTTGTTCCTCATCCACTCGCACAATAGCTTTCTCTATGCAAGGCTCTAGCTCCATGTGCCTTTGTTCCAACTTTGCATCTCACAGACCAAACTTTCTTTATCTATAGAAATTGAATACAAATGTGGGAACAAAATTCCTAGTTCTACATCACCCACCCACTTACCTTTCCAAAATCTCAAACTCCTTCCACTACCTAATTTAACTTTGAATCCTATTTTAATCCAATCCACCACTACAAGATATTTGTTGTTAATGCTATAGATATCCTTCCACCATCTAGAACCTATCCCCCTACCCTCACACACCCACTATATCTAATTCTTCTCTCCCCTCCCATATTTCTCCCTTAAAACCTTTCTCTACAAGCTTGAATCTTCTTTTGCTAATTGTCCCCACCACTTTCCCAATAAGGTAAGATTAAAAAGTCTAAAATTTTTAATTCCAAGGCCTCCCTCTTCTTCTCCTCTACAAACTTTATCCCACCCAACCCATGCTATTTTTTTTTCTCCTCACACCCACCCCATAGGAAACTCCTATGGATTGCATCAATTTTGCTGATCACACTTATTGGCATAAGGAACAAAGACATGGTGAACATAGCGAGGCCAGTAAGCATGGAATTAATTAGAACAATTCTCTTTCCAAGAGAAAGGTATCTATTTTTCCACCCAGCTAGTTTTTGGCAAAAATATGAATAAGGACCCAAACTTGCAAAAAATTCACAATTTCAAACCCAAACTTTAATTATGCTCAATTAAGGTCCTAAAGTACATGGAATTCTCCAATAAGGTCCCCATTAGATGGAATATTCTCTTGCCGACAAATATCTTGGATGCCGGTTAATGGTCCGTCACTCTCTCAGCCAATTGGATCGCCACAAAAGAAAACATGCTAACATGTCATTGCCACATGGATGCCACATGGATGCCATGGGTGGGTCCTAGTTGCTTTTGAGGGAAATCCTACTAAAGAGAATTCACATGGCACCACATGGCTTCCACATGGCTTCCACATGGCAATGACACGTTAGCATGTTTTCTATGTTGGCAATCCAGTTCGTTAAATAGTTAACAGGCATCCAAGACATTTGATGACAAGAGAATATTCCATCCAATTGGGATTTTATTTGAGAATTTCACGTAGCTCAAGACCTTAATTGAGCGTAATTGAAGTTTAGGTCTGAAATTGAGAACTTTGTGCAAGTTGGGGACCTTTATCCATACTTTTGCTACTAGTTTTTTCTTGAATTTCTCCACTAGCTCATTTCTAGTACCAATTCTTTTCATAGTAGCTCCAATAGGCATAATGACATATTTTATTGGCAATTCCCCAATTTTGTGTTGTCCTAGATGGCAACCCAAGAGGAGGGTGAATTGAGTTTAAAAAAGGACTTATGCAATTTTTGAGTGAAGCAATGATCAAGCACAAGCAATCAATAAGCTATTGTAAACTAAATTGCAAGAATTAAAAGAGTAAGGTAAGAAATATCAAATGCTTCTATTTATCCTAGTTCGTCACCCTCTTTAGTGCCTACGTCCAATCCTCAAGTTTCCTACGCTCGAGATTTAATCCACTAACACTAGCTTCAATGGGTGCTAGTGAAACCGATTACAATAACTTGCTGATGCTATCAACCTTCTGAATCCCTTGCTACAAATCTCTCAACCCATCTTATACCTCAAGGATGGATTATTAGATCTAGGGATGGTAATTTACTCCGCGACCTGCAAAGTTTCACAGATATCCCTACCATGGGGATCGAGATTCTAAGAATATTCCTCCTCATGAGGTAGGGATGGAGGCATTTTTTTCCCCGTGAAATTTCATGAGGAATCTCCTCCACCCCATGGGAAACCATGGAGATCCATATAAAATAAAAGAAAATATAAATTTATTTTTATATAGATTTATTAAATGTATTAACAATTAGTTTTTACTTACTGAACCTAATTAATTGACCAATCCATTCTTTTTTCAGTTTTTTTCAAACCCAATTATATAGTTCAATCCAACCCATAGTCTTTTTAAACTTAATTGCCCATGCCTAACCCAATTTCCATTAGTAAGTAGTAACCCTAAAACTAGAAGGACTACTACCCATAGATAGATTTCAGATCTGCAAATCTGCGAACTGGAATTCCTCCTCCTGTTCAGACTCCAATCTCCTCTCCTCTGTGCAGACTGCATTGTAGCTTACTAGCTCTGTTTCTGTTCTTTAATTGGTCAATTCCATTCAACCTATCATTATCTGCAACCTTCGAAAGTTCATGCCCATAGCTTTGTTTCTATTCTTCAATTTGATATAAAGAATTTTTTCTAAAATTTTGTTAACTTGGGGTACTTGTTTTTGTTTTAGGAAGTTATTTCCTCAACTTAAAAGTATTGATCAAGCTTAGTTTAAGTTGTTGCTACAAAGTTTGCCTTACTAGAATGGATGGATGTGTATGCATGTGCCACTTACTAGACTTTTTATGCCCATTTTCTTAATGAACTTATTGATGGACATCTATGGCAGTAGTTTCTACATTTTTTTTCTATGAACGTAGCTGAATCTAGACCTGTGTGACAGTTGCAGTTTATGCCCCCTTTTTTTATGAACCTTTTGCTGGATTTGCTGAACTTATGTGGCAGTTTATGCCTTTTTTTTCTTTATGAACTTGTTGCTGACTTACTAGACCTGCTTGACATGTATATATTGGCTATGTATATTTACTACTTGTTTGTCTTGTTTCAAATTTTTACTTCATATGATTATTTGAGCTAGTTTTATTTGATGAATGTGAAAACTAGTGGAGTTTAGGTAGGCCCATGATGAACTTAATTTTGATTAACAGGCAGTAGAGTAGGTGATAGTTTTATTTGGCAACGATTCTAAATACCCACAAGGAATGAAAGGTCCCCACAGGTATCGGGACAAAAGCTATTTTTGATCCTTCACCAAAAATCCCTATGGGGATTCCCATACCTGCCATTGATGGAGATGTGGATGGGGAGGGGGTCCTTGCCCCCATGGAGACCCGTTTCCATCCCTACTTAGATCTAACAAGGTTTCCCCATTCCCTCTCTCACTTGTTACAATGAAAGAGAACAAGAAAAGT